AAAAGTAAATCTTGAAGGTTAAGTGTCTGAATTTAATTGCAGGAGGCATGGGGAAGGGAGGAGTCCAAGAAAGGGGAAAGGGGATCAAGTAAACTGAGGGGACAGTAAAAAAGATAAAGGATTCTTCTTATGTGAGTCTCTTCAACATTACCTTGATTTGTATTTCTGTTTTCTACATTGAAATAAAATGGATATTTAAGGGGAATTTTCTTTTTTATGACATGATTATTTACATCAGAAGATATTATTACACCTTCTTTCTTATTTACTTACAAACTCCCTGAAAACAGAAGCCATGTCTGATATTTTCTACCTACAAAAGACATGGTATAAAGCTTTGCACACATAAATAGTCAAAAAAAAAATCTAATGAGGGATTACAATCTATTGATTTCCCAGCTATTTTATGGAGATAAAGCTCTATCCAGATGTTGTGAATGACAGTTTTTGACATCAGATAATAAAAGGAACTGGATAAATGGTTCAGAGGGGCATGGCTTCCATTTTCAGAGAAGTGCTTTGAAGGCAAACATTTTAATAAGTGCCTAAAATTCATCATTTACATCTGGCCATCAAACAAGTTTCTGTGAATTTTTTTTTAAACATCATTCACAAAGTATATGTTGTTCAACAGTGAAGCCAAGGTTTCATCATCTGTAGGACCAAATGCCAGTTTTCAAAAGTGTTTTTGAAATACAGTCTGTCATGTAATTATAGATGTAAAATTGTACCTTCTAGTGCAAAGACAACTGTTGAAAGAAAAGCAGCTGCTTTGTTTGTCTAAAATGTCAGTGTCATTATTTTTATGGGATGCTTTTGAGAAACACTAATTTGTGAAAGAAAAGCAGTCCAGAAGACAAATTTGACAGTTTAAATTCTCATGCCCAAATTGTTCTGAGGATTATAATTAATTGAAAGATAATGAAAGGCTGAACACTGCTTTAACTTCTTTACAGAGCCAGTGAAGTGATTTTGAATTAAATTCTCAAAATGTGAAAGAAGATGTACTATGCTTTAGACAGAAAAGCACAGGGTGTTTGAGAGATTATGAAATGCTGATGGGCAGCCCAAGAGCATTCTAGTGTAGTTTCAACTGTTTCTAGCCTTTCAGAAGAAGTAAAATCACTTCTCGCACTGATAAGCGCATACTTGTATATGGCATTCTGTTTTTGAGGCAGACTTAAATAGTATGTTAGTTTTTAGTATTGTCTAGAAAGTGATGCCAATGAAAACTGCCAATTTGGCCTCATAAAGAAATCAAAAACTAATCTTGTCTCAAAGACAATTGTTTGGGGTAGGCTTAATAACTAAACCAAATTGTGGGTAGACCTTAAGAAATAGAATCTTTCATTTACACATGGAAGAGTTTCAGGAATACAAATGCAGCTGTAGTTAAAAATCAAGGAAAAATTGTAAACTTCAGGACCCAAATCCTTTATACTACCAGGATAATTTATTTTTGAGGGTTGTTGTGGGGAGAGGTTTTTTTTGGTTTTACTCTTTTCTTATTATTGGCCCTTGCCTTTCATCTCATTGATGCCAATTAAAAAAAATGTAGCATTATCTTCAGGGACGTTTAACTTTGGAGAGAAATTAAAGCTAAATTATGTGGTTCCAGATGGAAGTAGGGAGAAAGTAGTAGTGAAAATATTTTCAGTAGGAAATAAGTGGGGAAAACCAACTTGAACCTGAGAAATATCCCTGAGTGCAGGCCTTGGTAAAGCCATAGAAATATTCCAATGAGAGGAGATGGGAAGGTCCACATGGCTACCACCTGACAGATTAGGGGGTAGGCACCAAGCAGGAGGGATGTCTTGGTCTCACTCACAGAGCTTCTGTGCAAGAAAATTTCATAACTCAGAGTAAAGGAAAATTAACACTTGAATAAACTTAGTACCTAGCAAAAAGTACGTGCTGAGGAATGATTCAGTGAATGAACAGAGACCTTTTTCTCATGGGAGTTCAGTTCTCTTCTATCAAGACAATTTTATATAGTCAATCCAGGTATAGAATGTGACTTTGTCTTTACTGACTTACTGTAGGCTATTTCATATAGTCTGGGAATTCATCTAGTATGGGTAACTCTGCAAAGGGAAACCATTTTGAGTTTTAAATAACTGATTTAAAAACAGTGATTTTATAAATATTAATAACCATAACAACTGTCATTTGAATACTAGGTCTCATATACTCTGCTAAGCCTTGTACAATCTCTTTCTGTGCACACAGAGAACCAATGATTGTCAGTTTTAGCATCCACATTTTACACAAGATACAGAGGCTCAGAATGTTGTTATGTGTTGAAAATTACACAACTAGTAAGGGGCAGAGCCCAGATTCACTCTCAGGGAGTCTGACTCCAAGACACAAATTCTCAAACCCTAAATTGTCTCATGAACATAATCGATGGATATTTTGATTTTTTCGAGACACAAACCCATTTCAGAATATAGATTCCCCCTGAGACTCAATATATTATGTATATTAACATATAATTTCCAGGCCATGTAGACATACATACTCTCAACTCCCACTCCCATTATGAATCCAATATTTACTCTAAAAAATACCAGACATTTAAAGTCAGAAAATCTACAAAATCATATAAAGAAACAGGAAGAAAATGAAAATTGCAATTAAAGAATGTCTAAAGGGCTTACCACAGAAATAAATATTAAGAGGAAAAAGTGGGGCACTGAATATTTGAGAGCAGTTATATGTAAGAAATAGCATAGAGTTTACTACACCAAACTTCAATACTGACAACGTGAAATCATAAAAGCTTCCTCTCCCAGGAGCCTTTCCCTTCCCTCCTCATCCTAATCACCCCTCCCCTTAATCTCTCAGATACTCATTTAGTGCATACTACATGCCAGGCAATATTTTAGATGTTTGTGAGAATAAAAAATCACCATCCTCAAGGAATTTATAATCTAATGGATGCTATGGAAAAAAATAGGGCAGGATTGGTGATTTAAGAATGACAGAGGCAGAAAATGTTCATTTATAATATAAGTTGGTCACGGGGATAGTAGTACAGCATGGAGAAAATAGCCAGTGATTGTGTAACATCTTCCAATGTTGACAGATAGTAACAGCACTAGTGGGAATGAGGATTTAATAATATGGGAAACTGATGAACCACTGTGCTGTGTATTTGAAACCAATATAAGACTGTATATCAATTACACTTCAATTAAAAAAAAATAGAATGACAGACGCAGTTCAGATTGGGATGGTCAAGAGAGTCCTCACTGAGAAAAACATATTTAAGCAAAGATATGAAGGAGGTGAAGGAGTTAGTCTTGTGACTTTTGGGGGAAAAGACCATTCTAGACATAGGGTAAAGTCAGTGCATAGGCCCAAAGCAGGGGTGCACTTAATGTGCTTGAAGCAAGCAAGAGGGCTATATGCCTAAATGGACTGAATGAAGGGGGAGAACCAGGAGACAAGACCAGAAAGGTAATGGGGGCAAAAATTATAGGGCCAAGTTGATCCTATGAAATCTTTCATGTTTACATTAAGAAAAATAGTAGCCAATGTCAGATTTTGAGAGTAACACAATCTGACATAGGACTTAAATTAATTACTCTGGATGCTGTATTGATAGACTATAGTAGGCAGGGGCAGAGGCAAAGAAATCGGAGAAGGGCTTTTCAGCAATCTGCATAAAGAGTGATAGATTATAAGTAGCACTGAGTAGCTGAATTCTTAATGTATTTTGCAATGTAAACATTTAATGACAAATATTTCCCTTCATCTCACAAATTAATGTGTTTTATTTTCATACAATTCAAAGTATTTTCTAATTTCCTTACGATTTCCTCTTTTTTGAACCATAGGCTAATTAGAAATAGTTTTATTTTCTAATATCTGGGGATTTTCTAGCTATCTTTGCTTTAGTGATTTCTAGCCTAATTCTGTTAAAGTCTGAAACATACTTTATATTATTTCACTTCATTTACATGTATTAATGTACTAAGGTTTGTTGTATGGCCCAGGAGGTGGTCTACCTCAGTTGGATGTTCCAACTGAACTGGAAAAATGTCCTCTACAGTTAGGAGTGGAGTGCTAAGTATAAATAAGGTGGAGTTATCAAGAATGTTCAGGTCTTTTATATCTTTACTGATTTTCTATTTGTCTATTAACTACTGAGAGAAGTATTAAGGTCTTCAACCATAACTGTGAATTTGTCTTTAATTTCTTTCAATTTTTGCTGTATGCATTTTGCAGCTCTGTTGCTAGATTCATTCACATGTAGGATTATGTTTCCTTGGAGAATTATCCCTTTAATATCAGGTAATATTCTTCTTTATCCCTGGTGACATTCCTTATTCTAAAGTCTACTGTATCCATTATAAGATATAGCTATTCTAGCTTTTTTTAAATTAGTCTTTTCTTAGTATATCATTTTTCATCTGTCTACTTCTAACTTGCTATGTACTATATTTAAAATAGGTTTTTTGTAGAAACATACAGTTTGATCTTATTTTCTTATCCAATTTGACAATCTAAGACTTTTATTTCATGTATTTATATTGTTTACATTTAACGTAATTATTCTATGTCAACATCAAATTCTATCACCTTGCTGTTTTCTTATCTTGCTGTTTTCTCATGTTCTATCTGTTCTGTTTCTTTTTTCATTTTTTTCCCTACTTTTGAATTATGCTGAGTATTTTTAAAATTTTAGTTTATTTATTATACCTTTATACCTTTCTATAAAACTTTTTGTGGTTGCTGTAGGTTTTTAAATATACATATTAATTAATCAAGACCTACTTTAAAATGATACTATATCACTTCATATGTAGTATAAGTACTTAATATAAAATAGTATTTGCCCAATTCCTCCCTCCCATCTGCTGTTGTTAAACATTTTCATTTATATTTGTGATAAATATATAATACATTATTACTATTTTTACTTTAGATAGTTATAATTTGAAACAGTTAAAATAAGAGAATTAATTTTATATTACCTTGCTTTATTCCCTTTCCAGCGCCCTTCATTTTTTAATGTGGATTCAACTTTATGGTTGGTCTCACAATCCTTCCTGGAGAACTTCCTGATTTCTGAATATATTTTGAAGGTGGAGCCAATGAGATTTCCAGATGTATTTGATATAGCCCTTGAGAGAGAGCAAAGCCAAAAATGATCCTAAGGTTTATAATAGAGATATTGATAAATCACAATAGCGATAGCAAATAATTAAAAAGAAGAGAGTACATTTGGGAAGAAACAGATACTAGCATTAAAAAAAAATTCAGCTCTAAAAGAATACTACAGCTTGATACACCAAATGTATTTTGTAATCTGCATACCTGCCATGGATTATTTTCTACCCCTCTAAGTTCCAGTTTCAATGATCTGTCGAAGTCTTGCAGGGTGGGAAGAGGCATAGATCCGATGTGTGTGACTCCTATATCTACAAATACCTACCTGATCTTCTCATCAGCCCCAGTGCAAAACTCAGTCCCTTCAGTGGTTTCAACAAGTTTTGTCCCCCCACATTTACCAGGTTTCTTTTGTTTTTTACTTCCTCATGTGGTCTTGGTTCCCTCCTTATGAACTTGCTTCCTGTGAATTTTGAATTCTTCTCCTTCTTTTATATAGAATTTAAGTATCTCCTACACTCAGTGTTATTTACACAAAACCCCTTAAGGAGGTCATCAGAATAAAGAAGGCTTCAGGATCTGCCCTTCCTAGCAGTTTCGGTTTATAAAGGTACCCCACTATCACAGGTAAAGTTCCTTCAGGATTTGCATACAGGAGTTTTATTGGAAATGCTCCTAAAATCAGCATCTGTGCAGGAGCAAGGGAAGCAGATCAAGCCGAAGAAGAAGTTGAAATGAGATACAGTTTGAAACAGTGGGCTCAGGCAAGGCCACAAATATCTCTCAAGGATGAGATGATCCTACAGAGATGTCCCACATTAAGGAACACATCCTACAATAATCAATCATTGGTTTAAAAGTGGGGAGGGAGATACTTTGCAATGCATTGAATACGAACAATATAAATAAGCAGCTCCCTAATTAAAGGTGGTTTGTACTTGAATGGCTCCAGCTGCTCTCTGAGATCAGACCTCACACACTGACTTTAAGTAATGGACAAGATCCCTCATCAGGGCTTCTACTTTCAGTGGGTTTCAGACCAGAGCAGGAGGTTGAAAACCACTCCCTGGGACATTCTTTGCAGAGAAGTTGATTTAATTGGAAAGTTATTAAACCATCAACATCAACTGCAACTCCCCAAGTCTCAGTTAAGGCTTCTAGTTCAACTCCACACTTTGGCTGTGTTCCATAACTAAAGCATCCTTACCCCTATTTCTGATCTTCCTGAAAAAAAAGGTTTTACTAACAAGGATAATTTAGATCCCCCATGAATTCTAAGGCTTCTCTAATAATGCCTTACTGTATATTGCTCTTGTAATAACATGCTTTAACTGAATCTGATTTTCCAAACTGTTCAATAGCACCTTGTCATGTGGCTCATTGCACAAGAGTCTCTAGTATTAACACATCTCCAGAGAACTCTTCTTGCTGTTGGTGCATGGAGGAGAAGTGGATTACGAGTCCCAGCAGCACTCCACATTATCAAGGACACTTTCTGATGTTGTCAAGTATTTCATCACAGAGGTGAAGCTCTGGCAGAACTGAGATCATGTGTGCTACCTAATGCCAAGCCTATAAACTTTCTTTTAATCTCCTTCACATCTCTGCCTCTGAAGCCTGCCACTACTGCAACATGGCATGCTCTCTTTAAACTCAAAACCCTTCTGTCTGTTCCCTGAAACTGAACTGGGTAAGAATACGTGCAGTGTATGGTCAACAGGTGAGCAGCCTTCCTGGGGACTCTGATGCTTGCCTGATGCCTACTTCAGCACTAGACGTCCTCTATCTGAGGGACTTTGTCTCAACAAATGGAACTTGGAAGGAGCCTTTGATCAGGCAAAAGCAGATGGCCATATACACTCTTGCCACTCCAAAGAGAAGGTTATATTTCAGAGCCTGTCAAGATAAAACTCTAAAAAAAAAAAAAGGAACAAAACAAAAACAAAAACAAAACCTCACCTGCAACTTGGGATGGTTTGGGCTTATATAATGATATGATACCTTGACTTTTGCTTAAAATACTCAATCTTAAACAGTGTATTCCTTTGCAAAAGCTGAAAAGTTGACCTAAGAGTAGATCTCTACCTTGGGTTCCCTGTGAGTTTGCTGTGGACCTATTCCTCTAAGATTCTCAGAAGGGCAATTGTTCAATTGAAAATGGAGATTCTGTGAGGCACATCCTGAGTATCAGTAGAAGGCTTTTTGAAAGGGTCCTTGAATGGTCACCTAAATCTCTCCATCTTAAGAAAGGGTTTTTTACAGTCATACATTTTGCTTCATATTTACTCTAAGACCATGTTTCCTGACAGCACCGTGGATTTGATCTTGCCCTGAGGCACTTACTTTTGAGAGTCTTTGGGAAGAGACTAGGAAGAAAAAACAGTTTTATTTTTGAACCTAGCAATCAAGGGCCATTTTTATTTGTTTTACACACTGCTTGCAAATGGAATAATTTCTTCTTTAGCTCACATCTCTTTATTTTTATTTTATGACATTCAGCTAAAAGAAATTACATCACTTTGAACATTTAGCCTAGAAATACCCTTAGCCAGATAAGTTCACTAGGTACATTTCTATTTTCTGCAGGTGACAGTTTTCTCAAACTTCCACCACTGGAAATCCAAATTCTTCTATCTTTAAGCCCCCAAAAATATTCCACTCACTATTCCTCAAGTCTTCACTGACAGCCTTTTTTTTGTTTTTTTGTTCTTGTTATTTCCTTTTTTCTTTTTATTAAATTTTTTTTTTTTTTTTTATAGTAATTCCATCCAAAACCTACTGGTATAAAACAACATTCATTTTGTTTTGCTTGTGATTTTGTCTGACAGTAATTTGGGGAAGAGCTTAGCTGGAGTCTAAACCTAAGTACCTGGAGTCTCTTATGAAGCTGTCATCAAAGGTTGGTCAGGACTGTAGACATCTGAAGGCTCAGTTGGGTTGGATGTCCAAGAAGACTCACTCTCATGGCTGGTGGTTGAAGCAAGCTGTCATTTGGGGTCAACCAGAGCACAGACAGGTAGCCTCTACATATGGTTAGCTTCCTACATTTAGCAGCTTCAGGTAGTTGGACTTCTTACGTGGCAACTCAGGACCTCGACTGTGAATTTTCTCATGAGCAAGTGAAATCAGCGTCACCTTTTATGACCTGGTCTTGAAAATCACATAGCATCATTTCTCCTGTACTTTATTAGTCAAAGTAGTTACATGACCCCTAGGGAATGTATATACACCACTCAGCATGAAGAGTGTCTAAGAATTTTGCAGCCATTTTTTAAAACCCACCACAAAGGGCCTGGCTGCCTTGCTTTCTCTGGTATAACAAGTCCTTATGATAATGGCAGACACAGAGGATGCTCCATAAGTGTTTTTTGAAATAACAGAATTTGGTAGAGAAAGAAAAGGAATTCTGTGGTTAATTCTCAAACTAGTCATGTACCATGTGAGGTCTCTAGCCCTGAGATATTCAAGAAGAGAAGAGATACCACAATTGGCTACCTTCGGTGATGTCAGCACTCAATTTGTCTAAGCAAAGGTCTGCCTCTTGATTCTTCTTTTGGCCCTTTTAATTTTTTTATTATTATAGTCCCAAGGGAGACTTCTACATTACCAGAACCTTTACTTGCATTTTTTAATAAAAGGCATTTTCCCAACTCTAAGAATGTGTGGAGTTCTGATAACTTTGAAGCAGCCTCAAGTAACATGGCAAGGAAATGATCTGGAAGAGCTGTGGATGCTCTCCAAGTACTCTAATCTAGGGAGTAACTTTGCCACATAGATATCTAGCTGAATGTCCTCTGTGCCATATTCATTTGGGTATATAGTAGGATGTTTTCATTTTCTTGTGCCACAAGATACAGAGAAATTCCAAATGTGGATGAGAGGAGCTATAAGAAAATTATATACCAAAACCAACATAGTCTGAGCTAGGATGAGTTTCAGTAAATGCACTTTTTTACACATCATACAAAATTATAAGTAGGACACAAGACTTAAAAACCTTTGTAATGTCCCCTAACATCCCTACCTAACAGGTTACCATATTTATAAGTGGAAATGTCTTCTGAGCAATGTCAGGTATCTTGTTTAAATCCTATGAAACAAAACAATTTCTGGGATGCATGTATAGTGATGCCAGGAAATCCATCTGCCAGCCAGAATTTCATCCTTTAAATACCTTGTTATGGCAGCACAAAAGAACACAATGGGTTTTGTTTAGAATGTCACCCTTCCATCTCTGGACTAAAAGGATTAGGTCTAAATTGCACTTCATTACATAAGACTGAATGAAAATGTTTGCTTCTTTTGTTCTTAAAAGTATTTAATGATGCTTTATAAATAGCCAAAAAGAAAATTATTTGGACTAAGGAAATCCATTCTGAGGGTCACAAACAGTAGATCTGCCAGGCGTTCTATGTTTTTATTTATTTAACACACAAAAGTCAGGGGCTTTTCAAGGACAATCCTATGTTGGACATGGCAGGGGGTCAAAGAGAGGCCATATAGTGTGATGGTTAAATGTAAAGATTTTGGTCAGTCAGATTTGGTTTTAGCCTCTGATTAACAAGTATAGCTAGGAAATTTACTTAACTTCTCTGTGGCTTTCCTCATTTGTAACATGCTGATAAAAGTATTCACCTTTCAGGGTTGGTTTAAGGGTTAAATGAGGTAACACATGCAATTCACTTACCAGTGCTTGGTGCAGAGTAGGTGCACAGTTAACAAGTCAGATAAGAGTGAGCAATTTTCAATAGGTACTGTGCATGAGAGTGTGGCAGGGGTTAGGGGGTGCAGAGGGGTGTGGGAGGGGAAATAGAAAATGGTGAGAGAAAGAGGAGTAAGAAGGAGAGACAGAAATGGAGGGATAGAGAGTGAGGGACATGGAGAGAGAATCTTTTGGGAAGGGATTTAGAAAGCATTGGAGACATAGTAAGAGTGTGATGGTTATGTGTTAATGTTAATTTATCTGATGAAGAGATTTTAAGTTTTAAAAATGCTAGAATGGAACAGGAATGGAATATCAGGAAGCACAAAGATATTTGTGTTACTTTGAGAAAGTCGCTTGCCTTCTGTACATAGGACAAAGTCGAAGGTCTGAAACACTTCCTTGCTCTACCTTCTGTTTCCATTTCAATCTTATTTTCTCACCCCCCTGTGATTCTATGCACCCACTATCAGAGGCCTGTCCTTTGACTGAGACTCAGCTGCTTTCCAAGTGAGACATTGGAAAGGCACCAGGTCATTACAGTGTCACTGCGAACAATGTGGAGGTATTTTCATGCTATTATGAGAGGAAATTCCAGTGTGATATACAAATAAAAGAACTTTCCAAAGAAACAAGAATTGGGGAAGGAGTGAAGGAAAGATTTTGAGGTGGACAAAGCCTTCCTTCCAGTTTCAAATGAACTGGTGAGGTCATCCCTGTTTAATCAATTCCTATTTTTAAACCATTTGGAAGAAACAGGTTCTGCAATATACCATAGTAGCAGTAATCTTGCCATTATTAATTAGAACAATAAATACCATTGTTTCTATAATGGTTTCGTTTAAAAAAATAATATTCAGGTTTAGTCATGTATATAAAGAAATAGGGTATCAATAGCCCATTTCTAATTTTGTTTTAATGATTTTTCAAAGAAATATATTTTTATTTTACCTTACACAATTCTATTCAAAACCATTTCTGTTAACACCCTTCAAATAACCTTTTAGAATATTTCTTATGAATCTATGAACCTCAATAAAATGTTTCCTGTTTTTCATTTCCCCAAGGCTAAAGTGACACAATCATTAGCTTTTGAGAGGGTTAAATAATAACTCCCAATGCTTAGGTCTGTGAAAGAATGGAAAACAAACATAGCTGGAAGCATTGTAACAGTTGAAAGGATTCCCATACTTCGGTTTCTTTCTTATTTTTCTTTTCCCTAAAAGAACACAGAGGATGTTTTTAAAAGAAAAACTAATATTTCAAATAAACTTTTTCTCTACTTATAGTGCTGAATAAATTCTTTCTGTCTCTAAATGTTAACAAGACCATACTTTTTAGTGGGAAACCTACTTAATCCTGTATTGTGGTAGTTACAATGTGCCAGGGAACACTGTAGGTACAGGGGTATACCAGTAAACAAAACAAGTTAAATCCCTGACATTGCAGAGCTTGTAGTCTAGTGGTGGAGAGAATGAAAATGGCCAATATGAATATAGAATGTGTTAATAAATGATAAAGTTAAGACAGGAAGGGGATAGGGAGTACATTAGGGTTTGGCAGGGTTTGTAGTTTTAGATAGGGTGGCCAGAGAAGGGTTTTTGAAAAGTTGGAGTTTAAAGAAAGATGTGAGGTAAGTAGAGGAGGAAATCATGTTTTAAGGCCCAGTTAGCAGGCCTAGCTGAGTCAAGTAAGGGGACAGTAGTAAGAAATGAGATGAAAGAGGGGCCAGTCTGAAGTCTATTTTAAGGGCTGACTTTTAGTCATCAGGTTAAATGGCACTGAAGTATGAGACAGGAAGTCACTACAGGTGAGCTCACATCTGTTTGTCTCTCAGGATTCGTTCGCCACCATTCTCCATCCTGTCCTCTGGCCCAGGGAAGCTGAGCTATATTTTCCTCCTCTTCTTCCTGACCCATCACTGTTCTTCCTTTTGGCAACAATCCTCTTTTCATTATCCAAGTGTTCCCTCTGTCAGAGACCCAGAGACCCAGTCACTTGTGTTTCTCTGGATCAGAGCTCTCAAGAGTGGCCCTAAACCCGCCCATGTCAGTGCTGGGAACCGACTAAAATGCAGACTCCTTGGCCTCACTCAGATATTCAATCAGTGTCTCTGGGATTGGGGCTCAAGAATCTGCATGTTTAATGAATTTTCCAGATCAGTTTTCTTACTGTGAGGGTTGAAAATTAGAATTGTAGATTATAGAACCAGCACCTCTCTGATAGGCTTCCAAGCAATTTCTTATACCCAGAGTTTTTCTTTGACCCAAAAATAAGAACTAAGAAATATTTGGTTTGGCTTTATTATATTTTGACTGACTATACTGTCCTAAATTTTTATTCAACACTTATGAAATATTTTGTTTTATGAAATGAAATACTGATTGTGTCAGTGCATAGTATCCACAGGTATCATTTTGCTCAATCTTCATCAATTTGTGTCTTATGAGATTTGATGTCTTGTTTGCAAATTGATAAATTGTGGAAGGGTTATCTATGACTACTATATATTTTTGTATAAAAGCACTAATTTCATTTTTATTTAAATGCTAATATTTCCCACAATGAATCATTTTCCAACATTATACTTGAATTAGCAATAAGAGTACTCAGCAATTACTGATAATCGCCATATGTCATGCTGTTTTGTGCTGTTCAAGTTAGTGCACTGAACTTTGAGAACTTTTTCGAAATTAGGGAAGGGAAATGATGGTGACTTAGATTGTCATAGAATTTGTGATTGGAAACTTTTGTCCTCAGTCACTTATGTAGCAGTGCTTTTGTATTAATGTCCAATCTTCTGTAAAGAGAGATGTTAGACTGATGTTTTCCATAGTATTTCTGTCACAATCTCCAGAGTTCAGCATTTTAAAACAAATACTATCTTTCCAGTTTTTTTTCAGATTTCAGAGGTTAATTTCCCCTGGGCCAGAATCTGCAATCTGAAGATACTGAGGCAAACAAGACAGTCAGAAATAAAGAAGGGATGCACTGCCATGTACCAAGCAGGTAATAGTTAATATCTACCTGAGTAGTGAATCCAATATCTCCACGGAAGATTGATTCATTTGGTGTCTTACTGGCACTGAATTATTTCTTAGCAGTGAGAGTGTGGTATTTTGTTTGAGGGAGCTGCATAATGGACTTGGCAGAGACCTAAGGTTTAAACCTGCCTTTTAAACTGGATAGGATCAGATGGAGTCTTTATGGCCCACTCTGGCTGGACTGTTTACAGTGAATACTCAAAAGCATGCATTTCCTCTCA